TATATAAAAAAACTAAAACTATTTGCACACAGTAGACGAATTCCACTCCATTTGACTAATTTTCTATAAAATCATCTTTTATATTTTACTTGACTATTCATCAGAATTACATCTTGGATCAATTCATTTTAATATAAAAGTGTTAAAACAAAGATTTTTACTAATCATACTCATTCCGGAAACGTTTTGATTAAATTGTATATAAGTGAATGGTAAGTTGAATCATTTGGATAGTCCATGTCCCATCCCTAAGTGCCCGGTCACACATTGATAAATTACAGGGCATTTACAATATTTTGGACGTATCTAAATTTGAAATGTTTAATTCTTTTTATTTAATTTTGCAAATAAACTATTAGAATTTAACCATATAGACTATGACACTTGCAAAGAAAGGTTTTATCCGATATCCACTAGGCCACATGTGTGTCAAATTATACTACTTTACCTAAAAAGAAAGCAAGTCAAATGTGTGAAAAGATCAAACTAGTTGGAAATTGACCAACATGTGTTATGACACATGCAATCTTTTATATTGTTTACTAATATTATTTGTATTTTATTATAATAAATTAATTATTTATTTAATTTGAGAAGGCAGACACAAACGAAGCATATTTATGGGGAAAGTCAACCCGGTGTACCTTGTTTGACCTCATGCTAAAAACTAAACAACCTCATGCTAAAAACTTAACGTGCTTTTATTATAGACAAAATTGCAAAAATGGTCCCTGTGGTATACAAAATTTTGGGGTTTTAGTCCAAACAGTGACTTTTTTGGTTTCGTAGTCCTTTTGGAGTGGTTTGTATGTGAAAATGGTCCCTCCAAAAATTGAAATGACTATAATACCCTTGGGGTATTTATTTTTCATTTTTCTTTCACTATTCTTAAATTTTAATATTTATTTATTTATTTTAACAATTAAAAAAATAATAAAGGACCCACCTCTCTCTCTCTCTCTCTCTCTCTCTCTCTCTCTCTCTCTCAAACTCAAGCAGAAAACGGAGGCTGTTACCCTCTGTTCCAGCCATGTTTCTTTCTTCTTTCTCGATGACAAGCAAGCCAAACAATTACCGATACATGGTTTTGCTACCTTCCTCCTCTTTTTTCACTTCTCTGGACTTGGAGGAATCGTCTTCACCACCGATCATCCATATCGTCGGCATCCAAACCCACCGGATTTCTATAGGTAAAAAAACACCAGTTCTTATCAACATCCTCGTCTCCTTCCCCTCTCTCTCATATAATATATTTATGGAGGTAAAATCGCATAGAACATTGGCACACAAATCACCGGGAATGGGAGAATGGAGGTTTGATTTTGGGTAACTACATCGAGAAATTAATCACTTTGGTAACCAGGGTAAAGAACATGGAAGAAGATGGATACTCCCTTCATCATCATCGACCATCGATCACATGCTTCTGCTCTAAGGTATCTTCTCCACTTTTAGGATTTCAGACACCTAATCTTTCTCATCGTTTCCCATCTAATCATCCTCAATCCAAGGGTTTTTGGAAGAAGCTGGATAACCCCCTCTTATCATAAACATCGATCACAAACCACTCATTCGCAAACTCCTATCGATCCGGATCCACTTTTCTGAATCCCTACATAAACATCAACCACCGGATTAGATCATCTAAGGAAGAATCGTTGAAGTCGATACCTTTCAGATGAACGAGAGATAGAGAAGATGAAGAATGTGGATTTCGTTTTTGGTGGGGATTTGGCGATGGCTGATCGGAAGAAAAAGAGGCACGAAATCGATAGCAAACAAGCAACCCTCTTCAATGATTGATTGGTTTGAGGAAGGAGATGAGCGATGCAGAAAGGCTGCTCGCGCAGTTCCTAATCCATTGTTTCTTCTGCCTCGGAAGTGATATGCGAGGGTGAAGGGTTAAACGGGGGCTGCAGCGGATCTCGGTGGTGTTTACTCAATCGAAAGAAGAAGAAAATGGGTCTTCGATTCCTTGACTGACCAAAGGGAAGAAGATGAGCAGAAGCAACCATTTCAAAAAGATGGATCAATAAGCAGAGGTAGAGATGTATAGCTGATCTCTGGGGAGTCCTCGTGATTTCCTTTCTCGTCTTCAGCAGTAGAACACAAAGAAAGAGTTGGTGTTCGTCAGGAAGAAGGGGAAAAACGAGAGAGAGAGAGAGAGAGAGAGAAAGAGAGAGAGAGAAAGAGAGAGGTGGGTCCCATTCTCGATTTGATTTAATATTTATAATTAAATAAAAGAAAAAAATATTTAAGTAAATGGAAAAAATAAAATAAAAGGGCAATATAGTCTTTTCAAGATTATCAGGGACCAATTCTACAATGAAAATAGTCGAAAAGGACCATCAATCCAAAAAAGTCACTGTTTGGACTAAAACCCCAAAAAATTGCATACCACAGGGACCATTTTTGCAATTTTATCTTTATTATATTCTGGTTTTGTCCCTCTTCTTTTGCCACTTTTGGGTTGGGGGTGTCATGGATGGTTATCGGAACAAAAAAAAAATGTTTCATAAGGTTAACTAAGATTATCTGTTCTTTTATTTGTTGAATCTAAACTCTAAACCGAAAATTCAAGTTGATCAACATTTGTTTAACCAATTTTTTTGTGTTTGGTTATCCGGTTAATCAATTAAACATTACTACTTAATAAAAAATATGTTAAAATTATTGAATCCCATAAGAAATTTCCTAAAAAAAATTGCAATGAATAATCCGTATAATTTGTTTAATTATATTTTGGTTCTGTTAATAATCAAATACAAATGAATTATCAAATATTCGAGGAATATGGAAAATAATATTGACTCATACAAAAACATATTTTTTAATTAATAGATAAAAGCTAGTCAAATGTTTTGTTATTTATATAAAATGGTGATGAAATGCAAATGAGGATGTTAATCTATATCAACCTTTTTATTTATAACAAATGTTAAAAATGACAATTAATGCTTTAAAAATTAAAATGACAAATGTAAATAATATGACAATTATTAATTGTAATTGGAAATTTCTAAGAAATCATTTGATATCGTCTATGCATAAATAATATTTTTAAAAAAAATAGAAAATAAGTTTTCGTTTTTTTTTTTTTTTTTGTTAACCGTCCGTAGCAAAAAGCATGAATCATAGCTGAACCGAAAAACTGAAGATTTTACCGGCTCGGTTAACCAAACTGAAAAGGTCAAATATATCGATTCAGTTAACTTGAAAATCGATACAGTTTTTAGGTTTTTAGGTTCGGTTTTTCAGTTTTTGAATATTTTGAGCACCCCTAATATTAAGTACAATACAACTTTTTAAAGAATGTAACACAAATATATGATCCGAATTGTATATTTGTATACGGCGTTTTTGGAATCATGAAGGCAATTGTTTGTGTGTGTGTGAGAAGATATATGATCATATTCGCTTTATTTTAATAAATGTTTCTATATTTAATGTGTGTCATTTGTTTATATATACTTCCTATTGACCACTACCACGTTGGTTTGTTTTGTTGTGGATATCGTTGAGCTTGTGAACTATTTCCTTGTCATGGCTTGAAACCAAGTTTGTAGCATTGTAAAATATTTTTATACACCTGAAAATGTATTTAAAAAGGAACTATGAGCAAGCATGTTGTAAGAAAGGTGTGAAATGAATAAGATTCAAAGAGTATTTATAGTTTGTTTTTTCAAAAAGTCCCACGACTAGCCATTGAAAGGAGCAACGGTCATTTTTTCTTCGGTGTAGCCATGTCCTTGCTATATGAAATTGGTTGATACCAAATGCAGAGATCAATGTCACAATGTTCTCACATCGTGTAACCTAAGTAAAATACGGCATGCAAACATTATCGCATTATAATATACATTGTAAAACATAATTTATTATATTACTATTATATTTAATACTTTACATATATTTTTAATTTAAAATTTAAAAAAACTTAGAAATTGATATGTGTATATTATTTATTTCAAAAATATAATAAAATGATAAATATCAAAATTCATAAGAGATTGACATGTGGTAAAATAAATATTCATTTATTATAGTTGATTATTCCTAAATATATTTTTTGGAAAAATCTCAAGCACTAGATAATTGTACTTAAAACAAGTATTATTCCATCGGTGTTTATTTATGGATTATTGTTTTCAAGAAATCGCTTATAAAATTATAGTAAGATACTTGGTGTTGTTTTTTTCAATGATAAAACAAATAAAATTTGGTGGCTCCTCTGGGCTATAACCCAACACTTTGGACTTAAAATTATTCCACTAAAAGTCTCTATTTTCGTGTGGTGCGCGTGTATCTATCGTATTCCTACTATGATGGCTTCAGCCCGTAGAGATCGGATGTTCATCTGCTTGTTTGCTTTGTAGCGTGGGGAGCAACGAACAAATCATGTTCTTTTACATTGCCCTATTGCACAAGATGCTTTGTTGTGGTTGCATAATTGGTGTAATATCCGGCCTCCTTTCAATAATGTTTGGGGAGCTTGTCAAATTTGCAGGGTGTTGGGGTTCTTGCCCAAAAAGAAGAAAGATTGGGGTTCTTGCCCAAAAAAAAGAAAGATTTTAATTGTTATATGTTATGGGTTCTTATGGTGTGTGTGTAAGACAATGAATGAGAGGAGGTTTAATAACATTCGTATTTCACATTCAAAATTGGCGAATAATGTTTTTTCTATTGTGTTTGATAGTGTAAAACACAGTGATAGTTTTGGTAATTGTAAATGAGAAGATTGATGTGATTCCAGTGAGGAGACGAACATAGGAAGTGTACAATAGGCAACCAATGGGTCAATGGATAAACAACTGAATTTATATATGAAAACCGCTCCAACGGTTTCAACCCGCACCCGTAACCGTACCAAATCGGACAATGTCGGCTCAACAAGATTTCAACCGACCCGAGGGCCCACTTAAGAACTTGATGAAGACTATCCGATAGATTAATAATAGATTAATAGGAGCCCATTGATGTGATTCCCCTTTTAATATTTTGTAACTTTTTTGTTTGTCCTGCTTTTCCTTTTGGCAAGAGGCTCTTAATAAATTCTCTGCAGGTTCAAAAGTAAAATTAACAAGTTTCGTGAATTATGAGATAAAATTGATCAAAAAGAGTAATTTAAGGTAAAATCGTAAGAACTATGTAATTAAAGGTTTTTGACTTTTTTCTTTGTAAGTTTCAGTTAATGAAAAAAAAAGAGTAAAACCATAATCCATAAAACCTCAAAAACATTGGGGAATATCCAGATCGCTTGCTTTATTTTCCAACAGTTGGACTGTTTGAGGCAGAAAGGGAGAAAGTAATGGCGAAGAGCGAAACCGTAAGAAACGCAGAGAGATTGGTGGAAGTGATGATGAAAGGGAACGATGCATCCCACGACGCTGCTCACGCTTTTCGAGTCCGGGACCTCGCTCTCTCACTTGCTCACGAAGAAGCCCTCGGCCTCTCTTCTTCACCAATCTCCCTTGAAATTGTATGTATCATGTATGCTGTTTACACCTAATCACTTCCTCTCTTAATTTGCTCTTGTCTGCTTTCCTTTATGCGCCTGGAAGATAAACACAGTAGAAATGTTGAGTTTTGATGTTCAATTACTGATCGATGTTCGTAAAGAATCCCCTTTCCACATGAAAATAGCAGACCATACGTTGAAAATGGTTTAAGAAGTAGTTTGCTTACGCGTTTCGAGATCTGAATTAAGTTTCAATAAAGACTATAGTATTTTCATTGCAAAAACAACTAGTGGAAATTGTTTAAAACCTAATTGTTCCAACTCAATCGTAGTTTAGCTTAACTCTTGATATCAATCTTATTATTGTTGCAGGTTGAGCTAGCTGCACTCCTTCATGATATAGGTGATTGTCTTTCCTCTATTCATGTTTATCCATGTTTTATATAACTTTTCAAGAAACCCAAATCGCCTTTGTTGCTAATTACTAATGGTGATTTATTTCATATGTATGCAGGAGACTACAAATACTTGAAGTGGGTTCTCTATATAATCTTAAATTCAAGACCTTTTTGTTTCTCCTTCACTTCCTTTATTGCAAATGGTTTTTTTAATACCCTTTTCTGTTATGCTTGTAGGAATCCATCTGAGGAAAAAATTGTAGAGGATTTTCTTGTAAAAGAGGGTATAGATATCGATAAAAGCAGCAAGATTTTAGATATTATAAAGCAAATGGGTATGTTCCTTTTGATCCTACTTTCTATATTTGTGCATTAGGAATCATTGCTTTATCTGATTATTGATTCTTAATTGTTGAAGGTTTTAAAGAGGAAATAAATGGAGCCTCAAATGGTTCTCAATCTCTTACACTGGAACTTGGTGTTGTGCAAGATGCTGATCGTCTTGATGCAATTGGTGCTATTGGTAAATAATCTTTTTACATAATTTGCATAGAATTATCAATTATGTAGTAATTTGTCCAAAAAATTCAATCTTTAAAAATTCCTTTGATTTGATTCCAGGGATTGCTCGATGTTTTACATTTGGTGGAAGTAGAAACAGAGTGCTTCATGATCCAAACATTCATCCTCGATTGGATTTGTCCAAACACCAATACATGAACAAAGATGAACAAACCACTGTGAATCACTTTCACGAAAAGCTCCTTAAGCTCAAGGATTTAATGAAAACAAAGGTCTTTTTTTTTTTTTTTTTTTTACTTTTATCATAATCCTTTTTTTTTTCAACTTGATTATTATCTTTCTTGAAGATTTACAAGGATTCATTTACCATTTCAGGCAGGAAAGAGAAGGGCTGAGAAAAGACACAAATTCATGGAAGAATTCCTTACAGAATTCTATAAAGAATGGACAGGAAAAGCTTGAAATAAAATAAAAGAAACCATTTTTTTTTTTCTTGAAACAATATAAAAACCAAAATCTTTTATTTATATGTAAGTTACAATAACATGCATCCCCATCTATCCCTGCCCATCAACTTATAAAATCCATAAATATTTGACACAAAAAAGAACATATGGAAAGAATAAAGTTAAAAAAAGACACCACACATGTTTCACTACAAAACCTTAAACATTTAGTATTTATGATACATTTGGAGTTCAGATTCACTACGCTTGCAAAGCTTAACCTTCAACCCATGCTGCATGTACATAGTCAATGCAAGCTTTGGAGCCACCGGATGATTCTCCACCACCACCACCTTATACCGGTATAAAATAGAGGCGGCAACAAATTTCATCTGGTAGTAAGCAAAGTCTTTGCCCAAGCACAGCCTTGGGCCGCCATTGAAGGCGGTGAACTTGTAGGCTGATTCACTCATGAACCGCCCATCCCTCAGCCACCTCTCTGGCCTGAAATCTCTGCAGTCTTTTCCCCATATCGCTTCCATTCTTCCCATTGCATAGATTGCATACACCACTTTTGTTCCTTTCTTCAACACTGTTCCATCTGGGAACACGTCATCTTCAACAACCTGTATTTTGTATTTTTAGGGGAAGAATCAATATTACAAACATGTAGAATTAAAGGGGGTTGATTTACTAGTCTTTTTCAACCAGTTCAGTCAACAAATTTGGTCTTATTGGTCAAGTCTATAGTTGCATAGAAAAAGAGTAAACACTAAATGTAAGTAGATAGATAGTGTTACCTCCTTATGATCCACGGGTACCGAAGGGTATAATCTCAAGGCCTCCGATAAAGTAGCATGCAGATAATCCATCTTCTTCACCTCTTCTGGTCTAAATATCAAATCCCCCATTTCACTCTTATCTTTCCTTTCATCCACAATCCCACATATCTCACCCAAAATCTTCTCCTCCACTGTTGGATTCTGGTCAAGAAGCCAGAAAAACCAACTCAAAGCCACCGAAGAAGTGTCCCTTCCCGCAAGTATAAAATTCACACAAATATCACGTAAAAACTTATCAGAAAAAGGCTGCCCCTCATCGTCTTTAAGCCCCATAAAAATCGTCAAAAGATCCGACCTTTGTTTCTTGTCATCAGCCTGCAGCAAAGAGATTTCTTTCTTCCGAGTTCTAATCACTTCATCTGCAAAACTATCCACCCCCTTTATCGAATCCTTCAGTCTCTTTTCAGATCCCAAGTTAAAATGCCTCATAATCTTCCACACAAGGGTAGGAGTGACAAACCTTAGAATAGTTGCTTCCGTTGCAGCCTCGAACGCTTGGGCGAAGGGTATTTCCGGAAGTCCGGGACTTAAACAACCCGGATCGACCCCAAAAGCGATCATGCAAACGTTATCGAACGTTAATCTTAAAAGAATATCCTGTAGATCGATCTGATCAGACTCGGATCGATCTACAGACTTGTTCAAGACAGGCAAAAGTCGTCTGTGAACGAGCTCCAACAACGACTCTGTCGTCATGTTTCGAAACTTGGACGAGTGAAACTCGATGCTCGCGGTCTTCCTTTGCCTCTGCCAAATCTCGTCATCGGCATTGAAGATTCCATTCCCGAGAAGATCCCGGAGCGCGTTCCGGAAATACGGGCCTTTCGGATACGCTTGAAACCTTGTTTTGAGAAGGTGCTCGAGGTTACGGGGGTCGGAAGTGACTATACAGTTGAGATTTGTAAACCACGGACCCCGGAATGTGAAAGTCCCGTTTTGTCTACAAAGGACTTGTGAAATCCATTCGTACATATCAACACGAAGACCGAGTACCAAAGAAGGTAACATCCCAAGAAACGGCCATACGGGTAGGCCGTGTTTCTTTCGTTGGCGGAGAGAATGTATGACCATGAAGACCAGAAGGGCGGCAAGAAGCTCGATGACTTGAATCTCCGGGAAGAAGTGGCGGCTGGTGGCCGGAGAAGAGGTGGTCATGGTGGTGGTGGTGGTGGTGTTGAGCATGTTGAAGATGTGGTTAGGAGGGAGGGGAGTCATGTTTTATATGAGGGTGTGTTGCTTGGCGTGCATGAGAAATGGATTTGGTGAGCAGAAATGAAAGGTGGTGTGTGAGTACACAAGTTGGGGATATATGTATTTTGACCAATTTAGGTGAATTTAGGGTAATCAAAAAAATTTGGTGTTTGTATATTGTTATGGAAAGAGTTGGTATGGGGGTTAACCTAAGTACCTATAAGTCACAACCACCATCTGGATACGCTTTTTATAGGAATGTTTTAATGTTTTATGGTATCTAAATGTTTTTAAATTAATATTTTAGATGATTATTGTACGAAATATGAATATAAAATTGTCTAATTAGTACAAGTTGTAGAACGTGATTATTTTCTTAAATAAAGCTATAGGGAAAGTTGTAAAACATTGGAATACACACATCAAGTTTCGGATAAATGGATCGAAATTTATATTTTATTGAGTTTAGAAAAAAAATATACCATTTTATTTATAATATAATATAATATAATATGTATTATATTAAAAAGAAACGTTAAAAATGAAAAAGAAACAACTAGAATTAAACAATACTAGATTGTATATTAAACGGAAAACTATGGCTACACGCCTACACCTACTTGATTAATCTGGAGATATCTAATTAGTAAGATAAAATTACATACATGGTCTTTATGATTTTTAAGATTCTCGATTTTTCTCTCTAATCTTTTTTTTATTACATAGATGATCCTTCAATTTCTGTTTCTTGTATGATAGGTTTCTTAGCCATATAAAAATATTTTATATCATCTTTATTATACTTTATCTTTTTTTGTTAATTAGAATTTATATTAACCTTGATATCATTAATTATTAAATCTAAAAATACATATCACCATTATCCTTTTTAATTTCTTTTTAACTTTTATTCTTTTAATCGTTTATCTTTTTTAATAATATAAAAAAAAATGTCCATCTCTCATCATCCCACACTACCTTTTCTTCTCTAATCTCTATCTTCGTCGTGTCATGTCCATCTCACAATAAACATAGCTAATAGCTTGTATGTTTTATTTTGTGTATTCTCCAAGTACACACATTGTGTATTTTCTGTCACATCCTAAATTCATACGAGTAGCATTACTTTTAACCTCTTCGAATTGCTAAATGGTGAACAAGCGTTTATAATTGCTTAAATATTTTTATCGAAGCTTCTTAGTGTGATTTTGAAGGGAGGGAGTTCATCGATTTTATGGATATCAAAAACAATAATTTGAATTAGGTATACAAAGGATTTTTAGATTTATGATTTTTTTCGAAAAAAAAAAATTTAAAATATGTCTGGAATAACTTTTGAGAAGCAAAAGCCAAAAAATTAAAAATCATCAAAAATCATCGATTTCTAACTTCTAAAACAACTTATTTTTTTTTCTTGCAAAAAAATCAATTTAAGAAGACTATTAGAATTATCAAACACCTTTTTAAACTTTTGATTTTTTAAAAAGTTAAAATCCAAAAAACTGTTTGAAAAGTACACTCTTATAGTGATATTACATTATTCATAATATTTATATAGAAATAAACACAAAGCAGTAGTAAATTAACGGATGGGTTCTCTAATAAAGTTAATTGAATGAGCAAGGTCTTTTTCTTATTTATTATATTTTTAAAAATTGTAAACGGGTAAAAAAGAAAAAATATATTAAAAAAGGCAAGATAATTTTTTTTATATAAACAAAAATTTAACGTCAACTTTTAAAAACACCAGCGACGCGATCTATTAGCTTTTTAAAAGTTGGACCAAATTTGGCATTCTAACCAGACCCTAAAGACCATTTCTGTAATTTACTCATATAATTATAAATGGCAATGAACATCACTTAAAAACTTAAAATAAAAGGAATCGAGAAAATGACGAGAAACTAAGTATTTATAATATCGATGTTACGTGAAAGACTATTTGCACAATGTAGTTAATGCATACATTTAATTATTTAAAGTTGACTAAATTTCTTTCAAGTTCCTACTATATAATAGATACTTATTTAAAAAGTAAAAATGGAATATTGGGAGTAATTTTTTTTAATCGAAACCTTTATGATTTAACTTGAAAACTCTATCATTTGGTTGAAAGGTACCGCTAGGCTTTGATGTTAAATGATATAATATATATATATATATATATATATATATATATATATATATATATATATATATATATATATATATATATATATATATATATATATATATATATACACACACACACACACACACGAGGGTTCAATTGAGAAAAAAAAAAATGTTGAGAATAAGGAATCATTATCAGCCAATCATTTAATTAGCATGTTAACACAAAACACACGGTGATCAACATGTAAATATGATATGATATCCTTCAATCACAGATACGTAACTGTGGATAATTTGATAACAATTCAAATTCATTACTACTCGATCGTTCATCATCCAAATTTTTTCTCCAACCTTCAACGATCATCCAAATTTCTTCAATTAAATCATTGATCAACATCATCTAGTGTTAATCAATCATCCATCTTCGTCAAAAACACGTTCATCAACGTCATTCAACAATAGACAAAAAAAAACCGTTTTTGGTTCTTTCAATCCACCCTTCAATTATACTTGAATACGAGCATATCTTCAACATCTACGATTAATTATACTCTCAGTGTCATTAGATCAATATCATCGATAATCAACAACAGTTTCACTTCATATCATTCATTCAACATCGATCATCAAACAAAACTTCGAAATTAAGGTTAGAAAAACATCAAATCATTTTTTTTTTAAAAAAATCATATAATTCTCTATCAATCTACTATTTTGTAAGTTTTAAATAGTCAAAGTATCATGTATTTAGCATTTTTAAAAGAGTTTACTTGTATGCACTCCAACTGTTTAATGAAATGCATAAACTAAATTACCACATTATATTCACATATGAATATGTTTTCATACCTTAATCAGTATATGATTATTAAAACAGAAAACAAATATACAATTTTATATAGTATTCATATGTGAATAACATTTAAAAGTTATATATATATATATATATATATATATATATATATATATATATATATATATATATATTTGTGAATAGACCTTGTAATATTCATATGTTAATATACTGTGTAATATTCATATGTGAATAAATTGTGTAATATTCATATATGAATATACCATCTAATATTCATAAGTGAATATATCATCTAATACTTACTATGTAATACTCGCAAATGAATGCATCGTTTAATATTTAAATATGAATATATTGTATCATATTCCCAAGTGTATATATTATATATTATTCGTATGTGAATATACTGTGTAATATTCATTAATGAATATACCATGCAATATTTAGATGTGACTAGAATGTGTAATATTCACAAGCAATTATATCATATAATATTCACATGTGAATCTACCATATAATATTCATATGTGAACATACTATGTAATATTCATTTGTGAATATACCATGTAATATCACATGTAAATATACAATATAAACAACATATATCATATAATATTCACGTGTGATTATACATTCATGTATGAATATACCATGTGATAATTAGAATGTGATAAATCGTTATTATTATGAACTAAAAGTATATTTTTAACATTTTTTTATTTGTATTCACATGTTTTTCAGGTATCGTTATAACTCAATAAAAGAATAACATTTCAATCAATGGTTTGTTCATATCGTGGTGGTTGACGATTGGTTGATGTAATTGAGAAGATATCATTGACGAAGACAATATGTTTTTATATCCATGTGTAAATGTTATACAATTTAATATATTCTTCATTTTGATCGTGTTAAATTCAAATACAAATGATATTCATTAACCAATACAATGTTGTTTGTCTTAGTATAATGTTGATTTTACATGTAAAATAATATTGTTACAATATACAAAAAAACTATTCACAAACCAATTCTTATAGTGTATTATTTATTTTTATATATAAATGTTGTATTCACAAAATAAATAAATATACAAGTATAATTTATTCACATAAATACAAATAACAGATTACATTGATGTTTTTACTAGTGGGATCAAAGTTAGTAAGATCATCAATAAATAAGTCGTAATGATTTCTAAACTTTATTCATATATGAATAAATAGCATGTCATGATGATGTCATCACTAGTATGAATGAAAATTTAGTGACATCATCAAAACAATTTGTCGCAATGAAGTTTAGTCTCGGAATTGGACGAAATTCGCATATTTGATGTAAAATGGTGTGATTTAAAAAACACATTGATTCGCCGTGACGTACGGTGTTTTTCGATCATTCGGGACTGTTTAGGGCCTCAAAATGACATTTTTCTATTTTTTATAATTTTCCGAAAAAAAGTTATCATTTATTCACAAATGAATATAACATTAATAAAAATATATATGCTTATATAATTATTTTATTAACCTAAAAAGATTAGTTGTATGTGAATAAATATATATTCTTATCAAATACTTTTTTTATCTTTAATTTTATTTATTTTATAATCCTCGGTTTTATTGACAGTTTTATTCATTTGTGAATAATATATATATATATATATATATATATATATATATATATATATATATATATATATATATATATATATATATATATATAAAGCTAGCATTTTTCCTTGAATCTCATGCATTTGAAACCCCCATAAAAATTTGCAAACACCTCTTGCATTTGAAACGTCAAATTTTAATGAATATCATTCAAAAGTCTTTTAATAATGATTAACAATTCAAAGGTTTTATAACTTATATAATATATTTAATAAACAATTAATGGATACTCTACTATAAAATATTAATCCTTTTTAGTAGACACACAAATACAAATCACATATAAAATTCACAAAGAAAACAAGTTTAAAGTTTTTTGTGTTGGTTTGCGGGCTTTGAACAAATTTTCGAGTCATGTTATTATGTTGAAGTTTTTTAATTTGTAAGTTTGTTATATACAAATTCTTTTTTGTATTTTCTTGATTTAAGTATT